TTCTCTCTGTCTGTCTCTTTCATCGCGTGTTAAGGACTACAAAACTAAAGAGTTAAAAAAAAATCAATTATATTTACGTGTTCAATTTTTACTCTAGAATTTTAATCCAAGAGAATGAGATAAAAAGCAATAATAAGAAAGATATAAGCGCCGCACGTCTATGACATAAGTAAGATCGTGTTATTGTGACCCTGTTTTTTTTTTATGCTCTCCATTATCATGGCTTTGTTTTACGCAAAGTATTTTAAACATGTTAAAAGGCTGAATAAAGACTGTAGATTATGCATATACTGCAGAAAAACACTTTAATAAGTACATTTTAATAAACATGATAGAGAAATATGCAGGATGAAATGCAACGTAAACGTAAAATGACTCATCTCTCGAGAACTTTGCTTATCTTTGATACACGTTTCAAGCTGCAAGAGTTCAGTTTCATTTATGTATGTAAATCTGTGTTCACACACTGTTAAATATTAAAGGATGGAATTTAAACCACGTCCTTGAGTTAAAAACATTTTATTATTAACATTTTATTATTAACTCAGGGAGTATTTAACTCAACACGAAATTTATTATTTTAAAACAAAACAGTATTATTTTAACGCCCCATTGGTTTAGTTAAATTAACACTGTTTTAGTTAAATTAATGACATGTTGAGTATATAAGTAGTAATCTATAGGAATGATTAAAAATGACCGAAATTGAGTATAATTTGACATTACGAATTTAACAGTGTAGTTTGCTATACAAATCTGCCAAATCAACCTAACAAATAGAACGGATTACTATTCATTACTTTGGTCTTAAAAAATCTCATTATACAATCATTTTGGTAGTACGCGCAACGAATGAAAAATAATGTAACGATCAGTTAATTTAGGTAGTTAATTCAATATTTAATTATCACTTAACTACTCAGTTCTCCTCGACCGACAGGAAACTTCGTAATTCGCGTATGCATTATGAACGCGGTGGTTAATACCATGCACGTGCATCCTAACGACGTTCCCGTTTTCTCGTGCCTCGAAATTGTGAAACATAATTTAAAGCGCTCCGCAGCGATCGCCTTGCGGTCACTACTGGCCGGTCGCTACCAAAGCCGATCCTCTTTGCCGCGTGGAAATCTGAGCGACCGCGAACGAGTGCGGCGCAACCCTTTTGAAATTCACGGCTTGTCGGATCTGGTGTTGACTCATTTACAACGCGGCTGGCTAATGTCACCGGCGACAGTCCGCGTGCAGCGTGGCAACCGCACGCTAATGCTAATCCGCATGCAGCTAATTCGCCACGACGAATTGCAACGCGTGCCGCTCCTCTAAGAAATTCCAGTTTATTTGCAACCGTCCCCCGGCCACCTCCACTTTTCATGTCGTCCACGAGGACTAGCCCAGACCGGGGGGGGGGAGGGGGCACTTTAAAATTACCTGGGACCGGCCGGAAATAACCTTTGAATTATTTACTAGGAAATATTGTGGACGCACAGGACCACACGGAGGTCAGTCTGGAGCTCCCACGACCCTGTCCGCTCGAGCGCAAACGTCGGCTCGAATTTTCACGCTCTTCGGGTAACCCCTTTGCTGATTCGCGACGATGCGCGTCTCTTTTACGCATAATCTATATTGAAAAGAGTATCCAAGAGACATATTTGATCACATCGCAGAAATCAACATTTCGCAACTGATGTCTTATTTTTTTATACGTTGCTCTAGTCTACTTGCTATTTGTTTTTTCGAGGAGCTCACCGACGAGAACTATTGGGGATTTAGATGACGATACGTTAGTCTCTCAGAGAAACGGGAATTAATTGCACGTGCTCGATTTTCGAATGAAACATTCGCGGCGACTCCGTCCTCGAATTTCGCAGGTGTATTCATGGTGATCCACGGTGTGCACGTAGTTACCAACACTTCGCGCGTTAATCCAGTATGACTGATTTATAAGTGCCTCTTGCGCAATCAATCGACTGGAACGCCCTATTTGAAACTCGGCGCGGAAGGGCCGACCTTGTTTCCACTTCTGAATTATGTATGGGAAAGTGCTGTGTACACGTCATGAATGAAATATACGTCACCGACCAGACGTTCTATGACGATGTCGTTAATATTATCGGAGTTATACTTGACTCCCGCTAATTCGAATATTCTGTATGCGACGCGGTTATATTCGTCAAACAGTGCGACACGGCACACGATATCCGTTTGATATGCGGTCTAATAAAGTCTGATAAATATTTCATCAAGTATAAGAAATATTGCGCTGAATTCGGCAAAAATAGTCTCACCTGTAATAGCGCTTAATAAAAGCTTTATTCCACCGAGGGATTTCCCAGCATTTAAGGCGGCTTGAAAGCTTTCTAAAAGCACTCAGCCTAGCCTCGTTTAGTCAGATCATCTTGCCGCGTGTAAGTCCGGTGTGTTGGAAGCGTTGTTCATAATTCGATGTTGCCCTCTTGCCTTATTCGTCTTGATTTTAGTGGAGCAGAAAAATCTTCCACGCAAGGAAAGATCAGATAAAGTCCTGTAACGAGATTAATTGCCCGCGTCGTCCGAAAATCAACGGTACGGAAAGCGACGTGTGGAATGCGTCAGGAATATTAAATCCAATGTCATTTTAGATTAATGAGACAGACGGTATCACTGCAGATGCAAAGCGCAAACTCTGCTTAATTATCCAAAAGCTCCTCTACGGGACAAATCGAGATTAAGCGAACTCGATTAGCCTGCTACTCTGATTATTTCATTATCCTGAGAATTGAGATGTTACGGTCACTACTCTCAACCGTGAGATTGTGTAATTCAGGTGGTTTCGTAATATTCGTGGATGAAGAGAAGCGAGACGATTTCGCAGTTCTAGAAAGTAATTTCGGTTGTTGAAACGCGAGAGGCTCTCAGCCGAAGCTGAGACGTCGCTCGATAAAGAGTTAAGTCTATGACTGTCAATCTGCGAGAGCGGCTCGAAATCGTCCTCTTTGCCTTCGCGCGAATCCTCGGTCGGAAGAGTTTGGTCCTGCTCCGACGGCAATTTTCGTCGCGCGCGATTGTTAACAATGAGTCCGCCGACGAAGGAATTCCGGCATTCTCTCCGGGAACTTCGGGCAGAACCAATATCTCTCTCTCACAGTGACAAATGTCATTGGGTCCTCGAACACTTCCTACCATCCCGCGGATTCCGCCAAAGTTCGGGGCCGACGGAGACGGTAAGTTCCGTCTGACGAGAGCGGCAAGATTGTTCGCACATCCGCGACCGGGGAAAACGACCCGCGATAAATAACGTCTTTCGTTTTTTTGGGGAGAGGGGAGAGAGGGGTACGAGCGCAAAGCACCGGTGGAACTTTATGGCGAGGAAAATCGCTTAATTTACTCAGAATTCCACGGCCGGCGGTTCTCGAAGAAACGCGTTGCAAGATCTGACGACGGTGACGAGGCCGGCGGGGTTCGTGACTGCAAATCTTACAAAATTACGACCGCGACCCAATTTTTTACGCGGCAACCTTCTGACGCGATTCCTCTTTCACGTCTTTCCGAGAACGTTCGCTTGATGATTTCCTAAGAGAAAAAGTATCGAGGTCACCCAAAGTTTTTCGGTAAACAAGCCGAACTCGAGAGACTATTTCTCAATACCAACAATATTCGGCAAACTTGAAGATCTTTGACCATTGATGTTTTCTTCAAACTCGCTGATATGGATCCTTGTCGACTCGTCTTACTCTCGCACGCGTCGATCCGATTTACTCTCGATCGAAATTGATATTTTCCTCGTTAAGAACGCGGTGAGTCAACTACTCGGGAATATATTTCGCAGATATATTTCTCGTTTTTTTTTTTAATAAATCGAGACATCGAGGTAATAGCGCTGATGCGATGATAAAACTGGAGTTTGATGCCGATGGGCGATGCTTTATAAGTGTCGCTCGCGACCTGAATGAGGGTCGATGCTCGCGCGGATAGAAGCACGGATAATAAATTGTTTTCCCCATTGTGCCAAATTATTTGCCATCGGCGTGTACAGAGGAGTCTGTCTACGTCCCGATTATCCATTATCTCCGCAACACGAGTTTGCCAGAGAGAATTAAATGAGAGAAAGAGAGAGAACGAGAGGAAGGAAGGAAGGAAGGGAGCGCAACGGCATGCAGAATTGTGAAAAATGGGTACAGCGCGGTATATTCTAATGCAGATTCTTTATCGTATTCTGGTACTTCGCGAACGGGCTATTCACTTCCTCTCGACGCGTAATTCCACTTCTCCGACGGCAACATGTTTATCGTGAGATGTATGCATTGTAGCTGAAGGATATTCAGGGAGTATGCAAAAAGAGCTCGGAGGTATTTTGGAGAGCTACCTCTTCCCTACCCGGTCGTCGCGCACTCCGCTATTCTTCAAATATGCATGCGAACGTGGAGTCACGGTACTGTGGAAATGCGCGATATGAATCATTTAAGTTGTCAACCAGAAATTCAGCGAACCAAAGTAAAAATATCCTCTGTCGAAGCTTCTTCCCGCGATGGTCTGTAGGGATTAAAAAAAAAAAGAGATAAAACGTTGGAAATGGAAATAACTCGACACGCCAACTCGTGCGATTAAATGTCATCCTGGAGCAGAGCGAGTCGCGAGATTCACGATTCACGTCACGCACAGGCGAGAGAACGTCTCTCGCTCGGCGATATAATGCCTAAATGCCGCGTGCAATTAAATCGCGAACGTATTTTTCGCCGCTGCGAACCTGCCTCGATCGTTAATCATTTCTGCATTATTGTATTACCGCATTGTTCAGGTTGGCGGAGAGGTAGAGAGGGAGGGCGGCACAGGAGAGCCTTAAAACAATACTCTCCGAGAACGGAGGAGTAATCAATCTTACTTTAGCCGGGGAGTATCGTGTATATTAGTTGGTCCGCCCCGTTGCGAAATTGAACTAATTACAATTAATAACTCTCCGCTTTCTTGCGAAACGCGTCCGAGAGCGTCGTCTCATTGTCATCCCCCGCCTTCTGTGATTGCAGGCACCAGTTCTACCTGCACTCGCGCCTCGAGCTGGTCGAGGGTAGGCTGAAGGTCACGGATTGGAGCTCCGTGGTTCGTCTGGTCGCCCTGATAGCGCAAGCCGACGGCGGTGATTATGATGCGCTGTCACCGCCGCACGCGCTCTACTCCCAATGCTGTCACATACAACCCGCGGAGCCGTGCGAGCCAAAACCGCAAGACTTCCTGCTGCGGATAGTGCAGCAGCACAAGGAAATAAAGGTTTGTGCGCTGACAGAAGTATTAATTGTAATTTGACTCGCCACACGAAGCCGTCACACATGTGAGGTGACAATCAGGAAATTGCTAAAACTAAAGTTGTTTTATAATGATTGGAGAGAGAGAGAGAGAGAGAGAGAGAGAGAGAGAGAGAGCGAGAGAGAGAGATAAAATGAAATAAATTAAACACTACTTTTTAAAAGAGATCCGTCATTTTTATTAAATATAGTAAAGAAAGAATATATATGAAAGTGTAAAAATAAATATTATAAAAGAGAGTTGACAATTCGTCTGGTTGCATAACTCATTGCGACATTCGTTTTCGAAATGATCTTTAAACTGTGCACAATAATTGAGGCTATTTTGAAAGAATTATGAAATACATTTTCTAATTAAAAAATTTTTACACGGTAAATTTTTCTCATGGAAATGATCCAAGTCGAGATCTTCTGAACATATATCATCATTTAAGTCAAACTTGCGGAGTTCTTTCATATTTATTTTTTCAAACTCATAAATCTATACTTTTTACACTACGCGTCAAAAAAGTTGATGAGTTTTTCTGCAGTATAATGTTTAATTTGTTTCATTCTGTCTATTCGTGATACTAAACGATATTAATTTAGTTTTAGCAGCTTCCTAATTGTCACCCTATATATGTGTGTTTTTTAATTTTATTTTCCTTTTATGTAATAAATTTTACATGTGCCGAGCAAACTTGACGTCCTCTCGTTTTGCAGGGTTTAATAAATCTTTTCTATCGTTCTGTTTTTTTTTTAAATCTGTATGTTTGAATTTAGATTTTTTTTATTTGAAATGGAACACGTGTGATGGCGTTTAATAGAAAATATACAATATCTGTTGGATAGTTATATTTGTAGAGAAATATGATATATTTTCCGCGGAAGGGGGGATTTTTAACAAATCTTTTTTTATGATTCACAATTTGATAACTGAATATTGCTGCATGAATATGCGTCACGCAATCTACATGAATATCACAGACATATATGAATTTTCAGGGGATGAAAGCATCGACCGCCGAATATTGGCTCTTGAAAGAGATATCAAACCTCGACGCATTTGGACAGGAAATGTTTCACAGTAAATTTGGATACAACGGAGTGTCTATGATCGGCGTTGGCCCGCACGGAATCACGGTCTACCGCAATCAGGACGAAGAGACACAAAAGTGATTATACATTAATAATACATACATGTATATATATTTCAGATATAGACAAGAATTAATTTGCGATCATCGTTAACAATTTTCCTACAAATTCTTTTTTAACATTCAAGAATTATGCAGGATAACTGAGTTGAACGTCTCAAATTTTGCCGTAATACATATTTTGCCAAGCTACATTTCTATTCGTAACAAAACTAATAAATTTAGACACAGATTAAATAAAAAACTTAAACGAACGCTTTTGTACATTGATGAATCAATCTATCTAAATAACGTCGCGCTAGGTTGCATATTTATCAACGCAAAATCTCGAGTCGATTTTAATGTTGCTTGTCGGCGATAGGAGACGGCACGTACCGGCTGCTACACGTTATACCATCCGCCGAGATGATCGTTCAACAGCTGTTACTGAGAGAACTTTATTATCAATCCACGCTTAATATAAAATGACAAGGCTGTGTTCCTACATTAATAAAATCCTGACGAAAATAATAATAATAAAAAAATAGAAAATGTTTGCGTATGATAAGATCAATTGGGCCCTTCCAAACTTTCGCCTCATCCATTATGCAGAAGGAAGATTAACATCAAGATTTTACTTTACCTTTACCTTCATCGTGGTTCAATTTATTATACGATGTATTATGTATTGCGTTACAGTATACCATATACAGCTATACAAAGCGCCACATCACAACGGCGGATGTTCCACCTGGTTTACCTCTCACTCGACGGCGAGGAGACGTCATTGGACTTTAAATTAGACTCCAGCCAGTCCGCCAGTGGACTTTACAGAGCGATCACTGAGAAGCACGCGTTTTACAGCTGCGAGACAGTTAGGAGCGCGGTTACCGCGCAGTTTATCCGCGATTTAAAGGTACACCCCCCCACAGCCATTTTGTATATTTAATTATTTTTTCGTCCTTTTTTACATCGACTTTTTTCTTTTGCTGCGACTCTTTTTTCTAAGCCCTGTTATCTATTAAGTCCGAATGACGATATAATCGCACGTCGTTGCTTTCTTCCGCAGGGGACAATAATTTCCATTTTCAACGAGGACTCGACCCTGGGCAAGAAATACGTGTTCGACATCCGTAGAACCTGCCGGGAGGTATACGACAATGCACGACGTGCGCTTTATTGCGAAGCGGCGACCATAGCTCTGCCGGAGGAGAATGAGATCCTCGATAGGCACGCTTGCGGCGAGTGCGAGAATTCTAAGTGCAAGGTGAGTGACGAATCTGTGCCGCGCTAACAATAAGATTCGTCACCAAGAGCATTCGACACAAACGATTCGTACGATTTCAGGAATCTCGAGAATGCCTGGCGAGATTGTTGGACGCTATGCTCTGCCGGATCTGCATGGACCGGAGCTTGGACACGGCCCTGTTTCCCTGCGGGCACGCTGTGGCCTGTCTGGACTGCGCCCGTCGCTGCGAGCGTTGCCCGTTATGCCGGGCCGACATCGATTACTGCCGAACCATATACCTCCCGATCGAGCTGACGCACATCGACAAGCACAATCCGAAACTGCTGTCAGAGACGATCGAGCCCGTATTTAGTAAACCGCTAACAGAGGAGATCAAAGACAAAAGAATTATAGACAGCGAGGCGTCGGTAAACAGCAACATTTGAGAGCGTCGAGTCAGACATGGACTCGGTGCGTTCGAAAGATTCTTCAGGATTGTCACTTGCCGCGCAGGGAGGGCGTATTGAGATACGAGGGTGAAACTTTTTTCTGTTTGCCCGTCGAGCTACCGACCAAATGTTTCGACATTCGTTGAGTTACATCCCGCGACGACGCTCGTTGGGTTTCATCCGATTTTTGAAAGTTTGATTTCGTGGGACGAGTTCAGCTGCGTGCAATTGCGTATTTTTATTGTTTGATGTTGCTTCGATGTTTCTCTGCTTTTATTCTTAATTTATCTGTTTAATTTATAAAAAAAAAAAAAGATTTATTCCTAAGATTACTATAATTATACTTTTTTTTACAGAAGTTATTTTATTGTGTTACTCAGAATGATTAAACACTTACTGCGACATTATTGTCGACATCACTTTTTTTTTTTAAATTATTGTGAAATTATTTGAATGATTTGAATTATATGAAGCATTGTTTTATGCAAATTCACGTATCTTGACACCTCGGTTGCTCCTTCAGTAAAAATTAATGAAACTATTAAGAAAATTTTTTCTTGGTTCTTTGACCAAAGAAAAATGTTTTTCAGGAATAGTAAAATTAATTTTTTTAAAAGAATAATTAACAAACAGGGTGAACAGTTTGAAAATATTAAAATTGAGAAATGATTTGACGGTACTGTGATTAAAGATGACATTGTTGAGAAGGCGCAGGAGATATACAAGGGTATAGCGTAGGTAAATCCAACGGGGGAATCACGGGATTGCATCATTGTGTCTACATATTCATAATGGTGTTATAAATAGTCCCTTTAATCGAACGGCCGAAGTGCTATTAGCAGCATGGATCTAACGAGAAACAGTGCTGCCGATGTGTGCGAACAAAGTTGTAATCCATATTGTACAAGATCCAAAAGCACTTGGAGTAAATTTTTATTTTCTAACTGATGATCGGACCAATTTTTTCCTTGTTATTTCATGATCTTTCTCAATGCTTCTGTGTTCCTCTTAGATAGATACGCTTCTGTTTGGTCATATGTTTACTCTGATTTAGATAACGCTCGCAGATTATACATACACATCGGGTCGAGAACTTTTATCGGAATCGGTGACCCAGCATATTTTTACTACAACATTCGTTATTCATTACATATATACGGTATCGTTCACAAAAAAATAACTGCTATAATATGGCCGCTTCTACCGGATATTTCGATAAAATGAAATTTAAATCGTCTCGATATATTTACATTAATTAAGACGTTTACATACAATTTATGATGAACTTAGTATTATGTACTGCATTATCATTTTAAATAAATGTAGTGATCGTAGTGATAAAGGCAACGCAATGCGGACATCACATTTAGATATATATTGTGAATCTATTTTTATCACACGTAGTGAACAAGGAGAATTAAATAGGTAATCGTTGCAGAATTGTTAGTCGAAAACGATTCCCCGCGAACTATATCTTACCCTCTTGTTTTTTTTTTATTGAAGCATTCTACATATATGAAGAAGGAAACTTTATTACCGTAATATCTGTTTATATATGTATATAAAAAATGAGATAACCCGCAGCAATAGGGTCAAATGAGTAAAAGTCATAAGTTCACCAAATGTCAAATCTGTTTTAATATACTACGCACATACGTCATTCTTCGAGTAAGTCATAATAAAAGCGAAACGAGTTAATTGCCTGTGCTTTGCACCTAAAAGATAAATCGTAGAGTAAAAAGTTAATGGCATTTTGTGTCCAAGGAAACACAAAGGAAGTTCCATTCCTGAATAAAAATAACACGCATTCTCATTTAAATCATGCATCTTGCTGATTAAAACTTCGAAGCATTGAATCTTCTTCCTTCTTGTTTCCAATCGGTGAGAAAAATTCGATATTAGTAAAATGTGGAAAGATAGCTTCTAATAAATTATTTCTAACATCCATCAGTAGCGTTCTATGAATTGAACTTTGTATGAGTGACGAAAGTGATAGAGAGTAAAAGAGAGAGAGAGAGAGAGAGAGAATAAGAAAGATAAAGAATGAAAAAAATAATGATCTTATAGTCATTTATCAATGCAAAGCAGACTTAGTTTGTAATTATTTATAAGAAATGATGATAGTGTGTATTTACATACCGCTAAGTTTAATGTTTAAGAGACTCCTCTTCAGTTACAGTGTAGCTTTCTTCCCATTTTGAAAAAATGCAGATTTAGTATTCTATATTATCGCGAGACACTTAACGGATTTCTAGAATATTCGTTATGGCGATATGATAGCTACATTGTATCTGCAAGATCAGAGTATTGTTTTTGAGTGATCTATTCTTTCTTTTAGATATTATTAACGCGATCGTCAGGACGTACGTAAAAACATTAAGTTAAAATCGTGATTATGCAATTCAATGCAATCTTATAACTAGGCAACCGCTGTGCGCGCCAAAATAAAAATATTTCTATCGTGAAATATCGCGTAACTGCCGTGGGATAGTCTCGATGATAATCTTTGGAAACGATCGATATAATTGCGATTACATTCTACGAATTATAGTGAGTCTGCGGTTGCGAATGTGAAAAACAAAATAACTTTGTACCATTATTGCGTGTCGATAGCTGTAAGATATTATAATAATGATGACAACAATAACGCTACTATTACACGTTACGAATAATAATTTCTTGTGATTTTAAATCTCTGTATAAAAAACGTATAAGGAAAAAAATTCAAAATATTGTAGCTAATAGATATGTATGGTAGAGGCGAAAATGATTCGAGAGAATGAGAGAGAGAGAAAGAAAGAGAGAGTGTGTATATTTCTAAAAGTTATCATTTTGCAAAGAGTATTTTTAAAGTATTTCCAATTATTTTTTAGTATTATATCAAAATTCCACCTGATGCGCGAGACGGTAGATGCGCGCGTAACATATGAAACTACCACAACTTACGAAACGTAAATTTTAGCGTTCAATACGATGTTCCAATCTGTTGATTAAATACCGTGAAACATTCAGA